GTTTAACCAAGGAGTTCTGCGTGACCCAATAATCGATTGTCATGTTCTGTGAATCGATTGTTAAGGCACGCCGACTCCTATTTTGCCTGTTGGGTTTTCATCAATACGTTAAGAGTTTTAGAGTTGAACGTTTATGTTTCCGGCTTCAGTAATTAATGAATTTGTAAAGGTTCTTAACGATTATGCTATCAAATGCAAAGTTGAAAGGTCTAACTAACGAAGAGTCATGATAACGTGGATGCGCGTAGGTTTAGCCGGGTAATCCTATGAACATAACGATATGATTATACTATGAATTCTAAAGTTAGAGGGCAACGTACACACCTCTAACGAAGGGTTTGACAGTGAACCACGAAATGAACGAATGACGCTAACGAACAGGTGAACAACGACTGCGCTTCGCACGAACGGCCTATCCCTTCTTCTCCTTCAACCTTGCACTCGCTGGAGCTTCGCCGGAGATTTACCTTGGCTGCTGGTCTGGCCGAACAAGAAGGAGAAGAAGATGGATGGTGATGATGATTGTGGGAGGTTACAAAAGTGTAATGAGTGAAAGGAGGGGATGTAACTTATAATGGTGCCCATTATGGTGAATTAAAGAAGAATATTGAGAGAGTTTATTTTGAGAAATGGGAGAGAGAGTGTGTTGTACCCGAGACCCGGGGTCTTATCGAGTAGCTATTTTGTGGCGGATTTGCGGAAGGAAATGGATGATGGAATTGAAGGGATGAAATATGGAGTGTGGGAAAGAGTTCTTTTTGGTGTTTTTAATGAGAGAAAAGAATAAGTTTAAGAAGAAGAAATGGTGAGGAATGAAATGGGCAGAAATAAAGTGAAGGGATAAACCAAGTTGGTGTTAAGAGATATGATACACTCTCATCTTAACTTGGGGCTTTTATCTTCTTTTACACATTAATAATCACTACTAATGTATAAAATTAGACTCCTAACACGCACTCAAAAGTAGCCAACTTTAGAGATATTTCATTAGGAAATTTGGTTAAAATAGCATCACACTATTTTAAAGAATTACTCAAAGAGTAAAACAAAGGCTTTTAATTCAATAATCTGGTTATTACAATGGCCTCATGGCTGAAGTATTTATACAACAACAAATAAGGAAAAATACAATAAAGGAAACTTCCTACTTCTTTCCTAAAAATCAAAGATTAATGTCCTTCCATGTGAGCTGATTTTCCAAGATGCTTCTCCTGATTTT